AAAAAAAAAAAGGAGGGGGAAGGAGGGCAGTCTTAACGAGATTACACACATTGACTTTGATCAAGACACAAAAGCACCAAGGCGTTCCAGGGTTTTTATTGCTGTCTTCGGGCTACATTTTAATGGTTACATTAGAAACATGCGAACACAGGCTGGGTTTTTTTTTTTTTTGAGACGGGAAAGAGAGTGCAAGCAGGCCTTGTGAAAAGGCCTGGCTTAATAAATTGGGGGCTGCAGGGAGAGGGTAGGACTGGGGAACACATGAGTAGCCACTTATTAATTGCTTCCCCTATGCAAGTGCCAAGCCCGACTACGATGCCTGCCGGACCGTTCCCATCCCGCCTGCCCGGGGGGCAGAAGAGCCACGTGCGGATAGAGCGGAGCCAACTCCGTGTCCACCTCCCCGACCCACGGCTGCAAAGGAAGCAGCTTCCCTGCTGCAAGGGCACATGCTAAGCCCCTCATGCCCACAGCGAGGCTTTCTGGCGTTCCTAAGTTGCTACAAGGAGCTAAGTTGCTGCTGCTGAGCATAAGAACAGTTTGAAATAGGTGTGACAGACTTAAAGGATCACTTAAGGCTGCTGGGACAAGGAAGGGACAAGGACTTCAGAATAAAGAGAATGAAGAAAGTCAGAGCTTCATCCTGCCTGCAGTGCTGCTGAAGAATAAGACTTCTCTCCACTAGCAAAGGTGGCAGGGCGCACGTAGTCACATATGTGTCTTTTATAACATGCTGCTAAAATGTTTACAAAAGCTTGTATAATCTAAATAGTGACGGGGTGTAGCTGAAGGGCTATAAAACGTAGCCCAAGGGATAGCCAAGTTATTGAGTTGCTATTAGTACTCAAGCCCACAGGCACTTCATCGTCCTGGTAACTTTTCTTGGACAAGACTTTTAAAAGGCAGGATTTAAAGGAGCACGAACAGCTTAATCGTAATTCCAAGTGCACAATGTGTTCTATAAAGTGGATTTTGTAATGCCTTACAGGAATAGTTTTTTAGGAGTGGCATTCCCTTACATTTTTTGCAACTCAACACTGTATCATCTTGCGAAGAAGAGAACTAGAAAGCACAGCTGGGTATTTTCCACTCCCCAACCTGACTGAAATGAAAGTTTAATTTAAAAGCCCACAGTTTGAACAAAGGAAAAGAAAACACTTTGCTTAATAACATCTTAAATTTTAACCTGATGTTCCTAATGCACAAATTCCTCTTGCATTGGGTCACCAATTTAATATTCAAGGTAATCCTCAGTTTTATGAACAGCATGGAATACGCTCGAAAGCTGCACGATGCTATTTCAAATAATCTCAAAAATATAGATTGATATGCATAAAATCTCTCTCCCATATTATTTATCCTGAACATGATTCCCTTTGCTTCAAGTGAATATTAGCTTTCCTCAAAGATACACAGACCAGGAGATCTCAGTGATTTGGCCTCCATCCCCACAGCTTTACCTCTGCACGGATGCACCACAGGAAATTGCTGTAACGCAAGGCTGTCCCAGCACAGAGCTCCAAGGGGAGCAGTGGCTGTCCCCACAGCGCTGCAGCGAGCAGACTGCACTTTGGTTACAACAACTCAACCACAACTCAGTGAAGGCAAAGCCAGAGCGGTGTGTTAGATAGTGAAGGCTGGAAGACTGTATGTACAGCACTCAAGTTGCTTAAAATAAAGCAAAAAACATCTCTTCCCATGGTGGTTTCAAATAATGTACCCCAGAGAGAGGGAAAAATCTATGAGTCAGCAAGAAAGTAGCCAGGTGCCTCACCAGAGTCCGCAGCCAGCATTCTTCACAGTGCACGTGCCAGCACTGAATGGAAGTCAGGGGCATTGTGTAGGAATCCTGAGGAGAAGAAACAAATAGGTTATTCCCACATAAGGGATCCATTGTTTTTTCACTCTCAATCCCATCACAAGACTCTTCTATGTCCATATGGCATAGACACTAACTGCAGATAAGCTAACTGCACAGCCAGAGAGCCCAGGTCTGATCTTGATCTACCACATAAGGTATGAAGCAAAGGAGAAACAAAGCAGAATTAAGGTGATCTTCCATCAACAACTTCCAATGATTTTGCATCTGAGAACTCTGCAGAGATAGCAGTGTTCATGTAGTGGAGGCAAAAAGTCTCCTGCAGTCCATTTTTGTAGTCCATTTTTCGGTTGTAGTCCAACCAAATCAAACCAAAAAAAACAACAACAAAAAAAACAAAAACAGCAAAAGGGTAAGATTAACCCTTATCACAGCTATCTGCTCCACAGGAACAGCTTAACTACATCCCACGAACACAGTCACTATTTCAGCAAGCACACATTCTCCTGAGTAATATCTATCATTGCTACTAAATCTGTGAAAATCCGCAGCAGGCTGTGGTCTCTTCTATGGGATCAGGGATGGGGGCTGCATCCCCAAACCTGTCAGCCACTAACCAAGGAGGGGGCACCATGCATCAAACTGAAGTTGCACAGAGAGCCCTTTGCAAAGCAGAATTCTCTCCCACCATCGGGAGAACACAAACCTTACAGGACGTGAGAAGCTTTGCAAGCTCTGACCATCAGAGGGAGCTCCTGTCCTTCTTTAGGGAGGTCACATCACCACCACACAGAGCAAGCAGGACGCCAGCAACTTTTAAATACTCGCAAACATTCCTGTTCTTGAATCACCCAGGGCATTTCAGAGATTCTGCTCTCCTCTGCGTATGCAACTTCAGGCATGCAGGGAGAGAACCCAGTCAATGCCTGGGAGTTTTCCCCAATTTGGCTGAAAGGACAGCACTGACTAGTGAGGTCAGGGCTTTCTTGCCTCTGATACAGATGGGCAGCTACATACACAAGTGGAACAACCTAACACACAGAAATATCAACAGCTAAAAAGATCTAGCACCTTCATTCAAAGACAAAGAGAGTGGCCCTTCTATATAGCTCCCCTAACTTACCCCAAAGTAACAACAAAAAAAGCTTCTCCACCTCAGCAAAGATAAGGCAAAGGTACCAAGACATTTGTGATTCATGACCACAACTGGAGTGCTACTCACCATGCAAATGAGACATTTATAGCGGTCCCCACGGGAAAGCTGCCTTTCTAACTCACGGACACGAGCCTTTAACGCTTCAAATGTTGTCACTGCGGAGTCTTCCGTAATTCTGCAAAAGATGATGGAGAGTCAGCATCACTGAGCACACAAGAAGAGTTCAGGCAAAAAAAAAGGTGTCGGAGGAGGTATTACTGTACAGGAAACAGGAGCAAACTACATATAACTTATGCTGAAGAGGAGTTCCTGAAAAGAGCAGTGCGAATTCTGTGAGCCCTGCTACTGAACACTTTTGGGGTTGTCACTATCATACAGAGCAAGTATTTGCAACACGTGGTAACGGAAAAAAAAAAGTTCTTTGTTTTTTGCCTCTTCTCCTTTTCCCTACGGATTCTTTGAAAACAAATCCTTTACACAAAATTCTGTGTGCTGCTCTAGGGCTGGTGAGCTAACTTCTTGTAGGCAGTGGCAGCTGCTCTTCCCTTAAGAAATGGGTGTCTTTCCTGGCCATGAACCATGTGGGACACAAAAGCAGCTCGTTACACAGGATCAACACAACATATCGCTTCTACGCTAAATGAGACCTAGCTCGTTGGTTCTAAAACTGAAAAGGAGATGAAACCAGAAGCAAGAGACACTACCAATCAGGTGGCTATAAAAGCAGCTTTACAATCTCTGCTTTCCCATTTCCGAGGGTCATTTTTGATGGGCAGCATTATCTTTTGTCATCCAGGCACTGTGCTGAGGGCAGGTGAGTATATTTTCATGGTTCTGCAAAGCTAATGAAAAGAGCAACTTGTCAACTTAAAAGCAAGGGCAAACAGCAATGCTTGGCAGATAAGACACGGGCAGCATTACAGACAAAGCTGTGTCACTTCAGCATGCTGCAAAATCAGACTTCTGCACTGTGCAGAGATAGGCAGGGGCCCCAATGCATTCCCGGAAAGGGTTTACAGAACATCATATCATGGTAGCACCTACAGGTTGCACCATTTTAGAGGATGATCTGTCAACAGGTGGAACTACCGCAATGGATAAAATGAGCTGCCGCCCCAGCACTCCCAGCACACACACACTTGCTCCTTTATTCACCAGTCACTGTCACCAGCACCCAGGGAGGGACCTGGAGCATCTCTGACATGGTGGTTCTGCTGCCTGACCCCAGTGTCGAATGCAATCCTGAGCATCTCTCTCTGTGCCACGCAGATGAGACTGAGCACACGGGATCAAAACCCTAGATCTGTCAGTAAAGCAAATAGCTATAAACTATATTGGAAATGGAGCTAGTTGTGAAGAAATCGTGACAGAACTTTCTGATTACAATCTTATAGAAGAAATAGGAGATGTAGGAGCACGTTGGTTCAAGTACCAGTGGCATAAAGCTCCTACAGCTTTGCACGGATCAGACACTGGCTGCAAGGTTGCCCAGAGACTGCTCCCTACAAGACCTGACAGGGAGGTTTCAGGAGGGATCTTCCTCAGAAAGAGATTCATTGAAAATGACAGTTCCAGGGAAACAGGAGGGCCATTTAAAGACTGCAGAAAAGGCAAAGAAATATATGTGTCCCATGACAGCCCGGTGGGTAGGAACTCCCTGGGGAGCAGGACGCTCTGGATTCAAGCCTTGGTATGAATAAATACTCTTTGGAGAAAAATAAAAGAGTTCAAGAGGAGACAGAGCTTCCCACTGTGAAACACCCGCTTGCCCCTACTCATTGGTATAAATTATTGTCATGCCCTAGTTTTGTTTTTCAGCTGCAGGGAATAGTTTGTTAGCCTTTTCTGAAAACAACAACAAAAAAACAAAACAAAAAAAAAACAAGAAACCCCCCCAAAAAAACTAGGAAGATCTTGTCTGAGGAAAAAAAAAGAAAAAAAAAACCCCAAAACTAGGAAGATCTTGTCTGAGAGGGAAACAGGATTATTTACTTATAACTTGAAGACACCTATGGGATGAGAAAATAATTTCCCTTCCAACCTGGCCCATCAGCAAGCTCAGGCTGGACAGAGGCTGCAGTTGAACTCAGCTTTCTGGAATCCACTTGCATCCCTCCTGCATGCGAAAGGGCACTGGAGCTTTAAAGGGAATGAGCCAACGGCCACTTCATCCCAGTCCTAGCCCAGTAACAGTCAAAGCTTGAAAAAATTGCCAATGCACCAACTGGAGGAGATAGAAAATGGCTTGTTTATAGAAGTCTAACTGGCTGACCCGTGCCGGCCAATTTCGGAAAGTCTCCGAGATAATCGCACCTGTCCAGTAATAAACGAATGAATCAGAAAAGGAGGCTGAATAGAGGTATAAGCAATAATGCTCGGAGGCTGCCTGATACAATGGCCAATCAATAGGAGGGCTGTAGATCAGGGTGCTAGTTAGCTGGAAAATTACCGCACCGCTGCGTGCGTCACGCTGTAGGGATCCTGGACAATCAATGTGGGAGGTATTGATTTAGTTATTATCACTTCATACGCTCCAGACATTGTTAAATATACATTTATTAACAAGACTGGGGTGCATTGGTAAGAGGGAGCTTTAGCCACTGCAATATCTCCCAGCGCTGATCAAAGCTCAGCCCTGACAGACTTTCAACCCCATGTTCCTCCCTGCCACGTGCGCTCTCGGGACAGATCCTGACGTGCGGCAGAGTGGATGAGACGCAGCTCCTGTCTCACAAGAGAGACCGTTCTTGGCCACGAGTGATTTTTTTTGCACTTGAGATTTCAGGAAAGCCTCCTGGAGCAGCAGAAACCAGGGACATGGGGGCCAAGGGTCAACTCAAAGTGACCGATAATTACAGGGTTGCTTCCGAAAAGCCGGAGGAAATGAGGTCAAGGGAAATACGGAGAACATTAGTAAATAAAGGAAACTGGAACTACCTCCTGGGATAGAATAAAGACAAGAGTCACTTCCCATGTGTCTGGCTTCTGTGGTGGCCAGCACACTTGGGACACATGCCATTCCATTTAGTGACATTTTACCGTCAACCTGCTGTTTGTATCCTAAAGATAAGCATCACTTAGGAGCAACTCTTCCTGCAGCTCCAATCTTGGGAACTCCGTTAGGCTTCCCTGTTGACAGCACAGCTTACACGTCGTGCTGGGAGATGGGTAGTGCAGTGTAGGTTATGCTGGATTTTTACACAGTGAGCAATGCCAGGGTGAGGGTCAGACTCGATGGAAGGGGTACGATGGCCCACCAGTTCCCCTGCCAAGGGAGGCAGGGGGAATTACAGCAAAGAGGGAATTAAACTCCAGGCCCTACTCCCTGCTTTGCCTTGACCTGATGCTGGATGTGGAAAGACTATTTTGCATCTCAGTGCTCTGATTTGATAGGTGTGGGTAACATCATTCATCGGCCTCAGCAGAAATCTACTGACCACAAGTGCTGCAAAGGGCTGTACTTCAAGCTCCCGTTGCTAGGACTTCTCCTGCTACCCAGGTACGAGCAGCTTTCTCATACAAGGCTTGTCTTCACTGGCAAACACTTCTCAAGAGGAGCACGTCCATGCTTAACTAACTTGGCAGAGGAGCTACCCTTGCACAAGTTGGGGAGCATGAGTAGGAGCCTTTCTACGGGAGCAGAGATAGGAAAGAAGGGCCCTTTGCAAAGGAAGTTTGATCTGTTTTTCTCTCCGGACTTTGTGATCAACTCTTCAGCAACTTGGCAAACACACTTGAGGATGCTGCATACCAGGGAGCAAATCTATGAGACTGGGGAAACAGCACTTGATAGTTCCCAGTCTTTGTGACCAAAACATTTTTCTGCTTTCATAGTAGAGTTTTGGCCAGCACTGAAAATAAGGAGAAAACTTTCTTCCTTTATCTCTCTCCTGTTGAATAAATCCTTGCTTTGTTCAGATAAAATGCCAGGAAAAGGGCATAAATATGCTATGCAAGAGAAACAGGCTGCATCTGTATCTCAGAGCTATTACTTAGCTATCACTTCCTGGGAAATCTCCCCCAGGAATCAGCTGCCCCCCTTCACAAAAAAACTTTAACCCAAACGTTGGCTATTTGTCAAACATTAGCATGCATGTGATCTTTGTTTCTCCAAATTAAATCGAGCAATTCCTGCCCGCTCTCCCAGTGGGCAATCACAAGCAATTCCGTTAATTAAATTATCTCTGATTCTGCAGCTCTGGAATCTCTCAATTGACTAAGTCTGTGCTTTATCATCAACAAAATACTGGACCAAAAAGGAAACAAAAAATGCTGATGCCAAAGTGATCGGTTTCAGTTAACCCTTCCCAGCTGGATAACAAGAGGCTGCTCAAGACACTATTGGACTGGAATGGGCCCAAGAGGCTGATACCAGAGATACCAGTAACAGCTGTTCACCCGGGATTCGCTCCATTATACAGGGGAAAAAAAAAAAAGAATAAAAAAGAAAACCACAAACACTGCATTAACAGCCTGCCTATCTGAAACCTTAAAAACATGCAAACTATTTGCTACCGAAGAGGCAGAAAAGCACCTCAAAGATCAGTAAGTCTCCATGAACAGCCCCCCTGCCTCACCCAGATCTCACTCGATGTTCCCAGATGTTGAGAACTCTCCATACAACCTTCCCATTTGGTTTATTTCAACTGAGTATATATTTCCCTTCTTCATAAATGGCCACACTTTACATAGCATTCCATAGCTTTTTACAATTCCACTGTTTGTATGTGCCTTGTAAAAAACGCTTAGCACTGATTAAATACACCACCAATAAAATTTCATGGGCTACTTCTGACACTCGATATTCTGACCTTCCTCTCTCTTCCTCATATATTTATTTGTTTCCATATGCCTGTAAACATAGAATGGCAGAGGAGAAAATTTACTGTACTCGCTGACAAACCTGAGGGTGCTGTCTTTATTTTTAAACAAAGACTTTATCTTCCCTTGTCCAAGGCGGAGAACCTGAGCCCCCCAGAACATACAAGCCATTTCCCTGCGCTGAGGCCAGAGGTCAGGTCGCTAGCAGCTTACATATCATAAATATTAGAAACAGACTGGTCGATGCTTTGAAGGCAGACTCAGGCTAAAGTAGGGTTCCACGAGCAAGGAAATTGCTCTTGGCTATATCCAATGACAGCCAGAGATGACAATTATCAAAACCACTGCTATATT